CAAACATCCCAAATATTACCTTACATACTGGTATATCATCAACCATCTTAAACATCCTAAATATTATCTTATATACTGGTGTCTCATCAACCATCTCAAACATCCTAAATATTACCTTACATACTGGTGTCTCATCAACCAACTCAAACATCCTAAATATTATCTTACATACTGGTATATCATCAACTATATCAAACATCCCAAATATTACCTTATATACTGGTGTCTCATCAACCATCTCAAACATCCTGAATATTATCTTACATACTGGTGTCTCACCAACCATCTCAAACATCCCAAATATTACCTTACATACTGGTATATCATCAACCAACTCAAACATCCCAAATATTACCTTACATACTGGTATATCATCAACCANTGTCTCATCAACCATCTCAAACATCCTAAATATTATCTTACATACTGGTGTCTCATCAACCATCTCAAACATCCTAAATATCATCTTACATACTGGTGTCATATCTACCATCTCAATCATCCTAAATATTACCTTACATACTGGTGCCTCATCAACCATCTCAAACTTCCTAAATATTATCTTACGAACTAAAACATGTACTGAGTTATCAAGGAACTAAAACATGTACTCAGGTATCAAGGAACTAAAACATGTACTCAGGTATCAAAGAACTAAAACATGTACTCAGGTATCAAGGAACTAAAAACATGTACTCAGGTATCAAGGAATTAAAACATGTACTGGGGTATTAAGGAACTAAAACATGTGCTGGGGTATTAAGGAACTAAAACATGTACTCAGGTATCAAGGAACTAAAACATGTACTCAGGTATCAAGGACCTAAAACATGTACTCAGGTATTAAGGAACTAAAACATGTACTCAGGTATCGGGGAACTAAAACATGAACTCAGGTATCAAGGAACTAAAACATGTACTGGGGTATCGGGGAACTAAAACATGTACTGGGGTATCGAGGAACTAAAACATGAACTCAGGTATCAAGGAACTAAAACATGTACTCAGGTATCAAGGAACTAAAACATGTAATCAGGTATCAAGGAACTAAAACATGTACTGGGGTATTAAGGAACTAAAACTTGTACTCAGGTATCGGGGAACTAAAACATGTACTGGGGTATCGGGGAACTAAAACATGTACTCAGGTATCAAGGACCTAAAACATGTACTCAGGTATCAAGGACCTAAAACATGTACTGGGGTATTAAGGAACTAAAACATGTACTCAGGTATTGGGGAACTAAAACATGTACTCAGGTATCAAGGAACTAAAAAATGTACTCAGGTATCAAGGTACTAAAACATGTACTCAGGTATTGGGGAACTAAAACATGTACTCAGGTATCAAAGAACTAAAACATGTCAGGTATCAAGGAACTAAAACATGTACTCAGGTATCAAGGAACTAAAACATGTACTCAGGTATTGGGGAACTAAAACATGTAATCAGGTATCAAGGTATTAAAACATGTACTCGGGTATCAAGGAACTAAAACATGTACTGGGGTATCAGGGAACTAAAACATGTACTCAGGTATCAAGGACCTAAAACATGTACTCAGGTATCAAGGAACTAAAACATGTACTGGGGTATTAAGGAACTAAAACATGTACTCAGGTATTGGGGAACTAAAACATGTACTCAGGTATCAAGAAACTAAAACATGTACTCGGGTATCAAGGAACTAAAACATGTACTCAGGTATCAAGGAACTAAAACATGTACTGGGGTATTAAGGAACTAAAACATGTACTCAGGTATCAAGGAACTAAAACATGTACTCGGGTATTAAGGAACTAAAACATGTACTCAGGTATTGGGGAACTAAAACATGTACTCAGGTATCAAGGAACTAAAACATGTACTCGGGTATCAAGGAACTAAAACATGTACTCAGGTATCAAGGAACTAAAACATGTACTCAGGCATTAAGGAACTAAAACAGGTACTCAGGTATCAAGGTACTTAAACATGTACTCGGGTATCATGGAACTAAAACATGTACTGGGGTATTAAGGAACTAAAACATGTACTCAGGTATCAAGGAACTAAAACATGTACTCGGGTATCAAGGTACTAAAACATGTACTCAGGTATCAAGGAACTAAAACATGTACTCAGGTATCAAGGAACTAAAACATGTACTCAGGTATCAAGGAACTAAAACATGTACTCAGGTATCAAGGAACTAAAACATGTACTCAGGTATCAAGGAACTAAAACATGTACTCAGGTATCAAGGAACTAAAACATGTACTCAGGTATCAAGGAACTAAAACATGTACTCAGGTATCAAGGAACTAAAACATGTACTCAGGTATCAAGGAACTAAAACATGTACTCAGGTATCAAGGAACTAAAACATGTACTCAGGTATCAAGGAACTAAAACATGTACTCAGGTATCAAGGAACTAAAACATGTACTCAGGTATCAAGGAACTAAAACATGTACTCAGGTATCAAGGAACTAAAACATGTACTCAGGTATCAAGGAACTAAAACATGTACTCAGGTATCAAGGAACTAAAACATGTACTCAGGTATCAAGGAACTAAAACATGTACTCAGGTATCAAGGAACTAAAACATGTACTCAGGTATCAAGGAACTAAAACATGTACTCAGGTATCAAGGAACTAAAACATGTACTCAGGTATCAAGGAACTAAAACATGTACTCAGGTATCAAGGAACTAAAACATGTACTCAGGTATCAAGGAACTAAAACATGTACTCAGGTATCAAGGAACTAAAACATGTACTCAGGTATCAAGGAACTAAAACATGTACTCAGGTATCAAGGAACTAAAACATGTACTCAGGTATCAAGGAAAACTTCAGAAGATTGTTCTATGCTAGATTTCATGATTCATCTTAAATAAGAACAAATATAACTTAAATGCCTTTTTATCAGAATCAGCAATATAAAATAAATGTATATCAATTTCGTCATGATTCCTTGAGTAGTTAATTATCATAAATAGAACTGACAAGCTTGATTTAATTGACATTCAAACTCAAAAACAGTTGTCTGGCAGCCAGTTTGATTGTTTGAACCATCTCAAATTGGAGCATGAACAAATAACCCTTTCACCCCTATGTAACTTTAGTGAACTCTACCATGCGTTGATCTGGTTGAGTCCATTATGGTCTACAGTCGTGAAAGGGATAAGGACTAATGGAATCATGCATAAAAGTTTCCCTTCAGGAGTTTCTGAAAAATAGTGGTAACAAACTTCACAACTTAAAATCCAAGATGGCTGACTTGTTGCCATTTTGTTTTGACATGTCCATCTAAACTTGAAGCATACATTTTGCTTTTCAAATTTTTCTTAAAATTTCAGCATATGCAAAACTATGGACAATGGTTGTCATTAATATCTTACCAATCGGGATAAATGCCACTTTCTGGGGGACACAGTCAAAGGTACTGAGGTCTACAGCCTTGGTGTAGCGCATGGTATCTAGGTCAAGTTTAAATAGGCCACGCTGTTCATTGTGGATGACGTAACCATAGTGGAAATCATGGCCAAGGTCGTTCTGTGGTGGCAGGAACATGTCCTGTACCTATACAAAACATATAACACATATAAGGATGGAATCACGGTCGTTCTGTGGTGGCAGTAACATGTCCTGTACCTATACAAAACATATAACACATATAAGGATGGAATCACGGTCGTTCTGTGGTGGCAGTAACATGTCCTGTACCTACACAAAACATATAACACATATAAGGATGGAATCACGGTCGTTCTGTGGTGGCAGTAACATGTCCTGTACCTATACAAAACATATAACACATATAAGGATGGAATCACGGTCGTTCTGTGGTGGCAGTAACATGTCCTGTACCTACACAAAACATATAACACATATAAGGATGGAATCACGGTCGTTCTGTGGTGGCAGTAACATGTCCTGTACCTATACAAAACATATAACACATATAAGGATGGAATCACGGTCGTTCTGTGGTGGCAGTAACATGTCCTGTACCTACACAAAACATATAACACATATAAGGATGGAATCACGGTCGTTCTGTGGTGGCAGTAACATGTCCTGTACCTACACAAAACATATAACACATATAAGGATGGAATCACGGTCGTTCTGTGGTGGCAGTAACATGTCCTGTACCTACACAAAACATATAACACATATAAGGATGGAATCACGGTCGTTCTGTGGTGGCAGTAACATGTCCTGTACCTATACAAAACATATAACACATATAAGGATGGAATCACGGTCATTCTAATTGTAGATTGAACAGTTTTGTGTTTTAACTTATGGTAAAGCTGATTTTTATCTACTTACCAAATCAAAGTGGTTCCCAATTGGCTGAGTGTGTACCATGTGATTTCTGCTGTCCTTGCTAGCATCACGGATGACCACGATGGTCTTTGAGCCAGTGTTTCTGTCTGAATTCCAACACAGCACCCACACTTCATCTAGATGTTCAACGTAGTGCAGCTTCACAGGGAACTTGTCTGTCTTCACAAACTGAATCAAATAACATACAAAGCACTGTTTACTAGGTAGACATCATCTATAAAGTATTTCTTACATAATACTTAAGGAAGCGCTACCTCCCACATTATTGTAATCATAAAACTGAAATATATATGTCACCCTGGTAATATTCTAGCTGCTTCCTACTGACTTGGATTGGGAAACTTTCTATGAAGCTTATTCGGTAGAGTGCAAGTCTAGAAAACCAGAGGCCCTAAGTTTGATTCCTACTGGACGCACTAAACAAGAGGCCCAGAGGGCCTGTATTGCTCACCTGAATATGTTTAGAATAATTAGTATGAAGTAAAGATATAGCACTCCATGGTAGGTGCTGTAAGTACATATGAAATTTCAGAAAGATCCATCCAGTACTTAAGATATAGCGAGAACAAACTTCAAACAGAGCCCCACCCCTATGCCCCTAGGGGGGTCATACCCATTAATTATACAAAATTGAGACCCCTTGGTCCAAGGATGCTCCAGACTAAATATGAAAATAAATCCCTTAATCTCGATGGTCGAAGAAGTATTTTAAAGGTTTTACCTCTATTTCTCCTATTGGGCCCCGTCCTTCTGCCCCCTGGGAGACCACACCCACTGCATATACAAAATTGAGTCCCCTTGGCCCAAGGATGCTCCAGACTAAATTAGGATAAAATCCCTATATCCCTATGGTAAAAGAAGGATTTTAAAGGTTTTATCTCTATTTCCCCTATTGGGCCCCGCCTCTCTGCCTCCAGGGGGGTTACACACACCGTTTATACAAAATTGGTTCCCCTTCACCCAATGATGCTTCATACCAAATTTGGACAAAATCCTGTCATTCGTACAGAAGAAGAAGGTATTTGAAGAATTTGCTATGTTTCCCCTATTGGGCCCCTCCCTTCTGTCCCCAGGTGGGCCACACTCGCTGTTTATATGAAATTGAGTTCCTTTTGTCCAAGGATGCTCCAGACTAAATTAGGATAAAATCCCTCAATCCATATGGTAGAAGTATTATAAAGGTTCTATTTCCCCTATTGGGCACCGCCCCTCAGGTCCCAGGGGGGCCACACCCACCGTTTATACCAAATTGGTTCCCCTTTACCCAAGGATGCTCCACACCAAATATGGACCAAATCCTTTCATTCCTACAGAAGAAGTAGGATTTTAAAGAATAATTTGCTATGTTTCCCCTATTGGGCCCCCCCCTCAGGCCCCTGAGGGGCCAGACCCACGGTTTATACAAAATTGGTTCCCCTTCACCCAAGGATGCTTCAGACCAAATATGGAACAAATCCTTTCAATCCTACAGAAGAAGAAGGATATTAAAGAATTTGCTATATTTCCCCTATTGGGCCCCGCCCCTCAGCCCCAGGGGGGCCAGATCCACCATTTATACAAAATTGGTTCCCCTTCACCCAAGGATGCTTCAGACCAAATATGGAACAAATCCTTGGATTCCTACAGAAGAAGAAGGATTTTAAAGAGTTTGCTATATATTTCATTTCATTTCATCAGATTTTATTGACTTTCTATATGTCAATTGGATTGGACATCAGGCTAGGCCTATTTAAGTCCTTTCCAAACTTATTTACAAACATTACATATATTCTGTCATAACAATCCAATTAAACAGTGCAGGGGAGATAACTCCAATTTAGCTTGTGAAATGAACATCTTACAACTTTTGTTTAATCATTTTCTGTTTATGTTTTAGATATCAACAATTAAATAAATCATGTATATTTATTGACAACCCATCCTACATAAGATCCAAGGGATACAGGCCCAATATATATATGCTATATATCACCTATTGGGCCCCGCCCCCCAGCCCCTAGGAGGGCCACACCCACTGTTTATACAAAATTGAGTCCCCTTGGCCCAAGGATGCTCCAGACTAAATTAGGATAAAATCCTTTAATCCCTACAGTAGAAAAAGGATTTTCAAGGTTTTACCTCTATTTCCCCTATGGGGGCCCGCCCCTCTGCCCCCAGGGTCGCCACACCCACCGTTTATACAAAGTTCAGTCCCCTTGGCCTAAGGATACTCTAGACCAAATTTAGTCAAAATCTACTTGGCCGTAGCGTTTTAAAGGAAAAGTTGACGGACGGACGACGGACGCTGCGGTATGGCATAAGCTCACCATGGTCCTTCGTACCAGGTGAGCTAAAAATTAATGACTGCTACTACATACATACCGACTATAGGTGACAGTACTATAACACTTAATTGACATATAAGATAAAAAAAAAATCCATTTGTTTCAATTGCATAAAGATTTTATAAAGCCGAGTTGGTACTTCACGTGCATAAGGGGATCTTCACAAAGTGAATCCCTCTTTAATTGAACCACCTCTACAGGCTATGTCATACTATACTGGATACACCAATATGTAAGGTAATATTTAGGAAGTTTGAGATGGTTGATGAGACACCAGTATGTAAGGTAATATTTGGGATGTTTGAGTTGGTTGATGAGACATCAGTATGTAAGGTAATATTTAGGATGTTTGAGATGGTTGATGAGACACCAGTAGGTAAGGTAATATTTAGGATGTTTGAGTTGGTTGATGAGACACCAGTATGTAAGATAATATTTAGGATGTTTGAGTTGGTTGATATGACACCAGTATGTAAGGTAATATTTAGGATGTTTGAGTTGGTTGATGAGACACCAGTATGTAAGATAATATTTAGGATGTTTGAGTTGGTTGATGAGACACCAGTAGGTAAGGTAATATTTAGGATGTTTGAGATGGTTGATGAGACACCAGTATGTAAGATAATATTTAGGAT